TACACTGTGGGAACTGCAAAATGGAAAGACCTTGGCGACTCCTCACGAAGTGAACAAAATCCAGGACACAGAGTGTAAAGCCAACTATGTAAACAAGGATGTCACCCCCTGTAGACCTGAACACAAACATAGAGAAGGGCAGTTGTCCTTCTCTTTACCCATGTCAAGGTTCTCTGATTTCTGCTGCACTGATGCTTTCCAAGTGAGCTCTGCCACTTACCTTGACTTCACTTAGCAGTCCACCTTGGAGCTCTTTCTACATTGCGAGATAGAGAGCTGACCACTGTGACCAGCACATTATGAAATAGTTAAGCATCGTTCACTGTATCATCCTTTTACAAACATGAATGGATGCTTCAGTGGCACCCATGCTTATTCTTTCTTCTTGCATTTTAGTTGAAAACCAAAGAAACAGACACAGAGAGACAGAGGTCTTCCGTCTACCACTTACTCCCCAAATGACTGCTCCAGCCATAGCTTAGCCAGGCCATAGCCAGGGGTGGAAGGGCAACCTGGGATTTCTTCCATGCACATGCTGTCACTGAGTTTCCTGAGCTGCACCCTGGGATATGTCATCACGGGAGCCCAGGAAAAGAGGTCTCCCCACTGCCCTCCACCGGTCTCAGGTTCTTCCTGTTGTGCCTTGTGAGGTTTTAAGACCCACTTCTTTCACTAAACCCAGGTGTTCACCTGGCATTTTTGAAATTAATTTATTTTATCTGGAAAGGCAGATTTCCAGAGAGAAGAAGCAACAGAGAGAAAGATATTCCATCTGATAGTTCACTCCCCAATGGCCACAATGGCTAGAAATGAGCTAATTGGAAACCAGGAGCTGGGAGTTTCCTCTCGGTCTCCCACATGGGTGCTGGGTCCCAAGGCTCTGAGCCATCCTCTGCTGCTTTCCCAGTCCATAAGCACGGAGCTGGAAGGAGAGTGGAGCAACAGGAATATGAACCGGCTCCCATATGGAATGCCATCACTTGCAGGTAGAGGATTAGCCAGTTGAGTTATCGTGTTGGCCTCCTCCCCTTGCATTAAAAAAAAAAAAGTTTTGAAAGTTATTTTCTGATTTGAAAGGCAAAATAACACACACACACACACACACACACATACAGAGAGAGAGAGAGATAGAAAGAAAAAGAGGGAGGGAGAGAATCTTTCATCTACCAGTTCACTTCCATCTGCAGGTTTCACGTTGCAAATGGCCACAATGGCCAGGGTTGGGTCAGGAACTTCATCCTGGTTTCCATTAAATGGCAGAGGTCCAAATACTGTGTCATCACCCCCTGCCTTCCCAGGCACATTAGCAAGAGGGTGGTCCATTCTCTAAATGTCTACAATGACTGGGCTGCACTGAAGCTACGAAAGCAATCCAAGTTTCTCACATGGGTGGCAGAAGCACAAACACTTGTGCCATCACTCCATCACCCAGGATCTGTATTAGCAGGAAATTGGAATCAGGAGCTAGAGCTGGGAACTATACCCACATAGCGTGATAAGGGACCCAAACATGAATACCAGTGTCTTAATTGCTAGGCTAAACTGCTGTCCTTCTGCTTTTGTTTCGCAAATAGTTCTCAAAGTCTCTGGATGACTAATGATATTCTTTTTTTTTTTTAATCAAGATGTAATTTATGGGCCCAGCATGATAACGTAGTGGTTAAAGTCCTTGGCTTGCATGCCCGGGATTCCATATGGGCGCCGGTTCTAATCCCAGCAGCTCCACTTCCCATCCAGCTCCCTGCTTGTGGCCTGGAACCTGAATCTTCTTCTGGGTCTCCCATGTGGGTGATGGGAACCCAAATATGTCTGCCATCATTTGTGCACAGGATGGTGGATCAGAAGCACAGTGACTAGGGACTTGAACCAGGCACTCCATGTGAAATGACAGGAGACGTGGGTGTCTGGAGGTGCAGTGTAATCACTGTGCCACATGCCCACCCCGTTCGCACTCTTCTGTTGGCTCTCTCTGACCTTGGCTGCTCCCGTGCTCACTAGCAAAGTGTGAGATCCTGTGTTGGGGAGGCCGCCAGCTCATGAGAAATCGAAGCCTCAATGCAATCACCCACAAGGATTTAAATTCTATCAACAGCCACACGAGGGAGCCTGGAAGCTGATTATGTCCCGTAATTAGTCATGCAACAATGGTAATGGCACATAAAATGCAAGTGGAGTCGGTAGAAGAAAGAACTGGGATTGGACAGAAGGCACCTGTGGTGGGGACTGAATGTCACAGGTTCCTCTGGGGAGGTTGGAACCTGGCTGCTTCCTCTACCCATATCTGTTGTTGGCATCTACCAGCCTTGGTGTCTAATCACAGGGTTACAGGAATTGTCTCCTCAGGGAGTCTTCTCCAATTGTGATAAGCTCCAAAGGCAAAAACAGCTATTCTTAAAAAAAAAAAAAAAAAAAATGGAGGATGGAGCAGAGCGTTGTGATGTAACATTAAACCACCGCCTGAGATGCTGGCATCCCATATGAGTGAATGTCCAAGACTTGGGCCTGAGCTGTGGTTCAGCAAGTTAAGCTGTTGCTTGCGATGGTAGGAGCCCAGGATCTGGTTCTGGCTACTCTGCCACAGACCCAGCTCCTTGCTAATGCACCTTGCAAGGCAGCAGAAGCTGGCCCAAGTATATGGATCTTAGCCACCCTGTGGGAGACCTAGGTGGAGCTCTTGGCTTCTGACTTTGAGCTTGTCCAGAATCAGCCATTGAAGCCAGTCCAAGAGTCAAACAGCAAATGAAAGATGCATCTCTCTCTCTCTCTCTGAGACTCTGCCTTTCAAATCAGTCAATCACTCAATCAATCATGCTAAGAAATTAAAATATTTTTAAAAAGAAACCATGAGTTCAGCACCTGCAGTGGCGCATATGCACACAATACCCACACAAAACCTTCCCACTGCCCCTAGAGCTCTCAGTCTACTTCACTGCCAGACACAAGGGGATTCCTGAGCTCTGGACTCTAAATCCAGAGAATGCTTCCACATGACCCTTGGATTCTGGTGCATTCTGGCCATTTGATGGATGAAGAAACTGGGGCTCAGAGAAGCCTGGGCACTAAGCTGACCACCCTGAGGACATTCAGCAAGTGAATGCTAGAGTAACCACTAGAACTTAACCCTTGCAACTGCTCGCCTCCTGCCCCACATGGTGCATAGTTCACTGGAGTGAACCCAGAGGTCCCAGTAGAACATTATTATTATTATTATTATTATTTCAATTTGTAACCAGCCTGAATACAGGTTGACGGTAGGGAGCAGGGGGAGCAGTATGAGAAATCTGGCACATTAATGCATTGGATAAATATTTGTGAAGTGCTGACTGTAATAACTTTGCTGTGGAGACACAAGTGGTAGGTGAAAGGGGAGGGTGATCACTGCAGAAAGGGGAGGGGCCCAAGAATCATACCAGTTCATGTCTATTACAGCCTGGGGAGTTCTGGGAAGGCTTAGCACGGAATGCTTACTAGAATGTTCTGTGGGCATCCCCTGAAGTCAGGCTTTCAGGAGGAGGCAGCACTAGAGCTAAACTAGAAAGATGTTTCCACAGGGACTTACAGGAAGTGCTAGAAGGACAGGCTGTCCTGCTGCACTCCTTCCCCCATGAGCTCCGTACTGCCAGGAAATTTCCAATGAGCATATCCTGAATCCTGGGATGACACACTGGGCATTCCCAGGATGAGCTAAGAGCATTACAAACAGCGTGGAGACAAGATGTACCTTCCTCCACGGGACCTCTGAGCTCTTCCCCTCACCATCCTGTGGGCTTGTCCCTTCCAGGTGTTCCAAGACAGTACCGCTTCCTTGGCCAGCTCCTTCTTCCTGAGCTAGAACACACTTGTCACTGCCTCCTGCCTGACCAGCACCTTCTCCCCGTGGCTCCCAGGCTCCAGACTGGGTCTACTCCTCTCTGTGCACCTGAGGCGGAACTCACCTGTCATCCATCCTGCATTTCCTTTCCCTGTTCACCAGAGGAGCAGTCCCCACACATGCGAGCTCAAGTCTCCTGAGCTCTTTTCTCCCTGCCTGGTGATGTCTATCTGTGAAGGGCCTTCACCATCTGCAGGGGCCTCTAAGTTTAATCTCTCACTTGCTCTGTGACTTTGGGTAAGTGAATAGAGCTCTCTGAGCTCTATTCCCGCTCTTTTAAAATAAGAATAATGGGGGCTGGCATTGTGGTACAGAGAGTAAAGCCATCACTTGACACCAACAGCCCTCGTCAGAGCACCAGTTCAAGTCCCAACTGTTTCACTTCTGATCCAGCCCTCTGCTAATGTACCTGGGAAAGCAGCAGATAATGGCATGCCTCCCACCCAAGCAGGAGACCCTGATGGAATTCCAGGCTCCTGTCTTGGCCTGGGCCAGCCCTAGCCGTATTGGCCATTTGAGGAATAAATCTGTTGATGGCAGATATATGTCTCTCCTTCTTTTTCTCTGTCATTTTGCATTTAAGTATTTTTTTTAAAAAGACATTGTCCTTTATGAAAATTAATGAAGATTAATGGATAGCCCTTGCCTATTGTTTATAGGATTAAATAGATCTGGTACATAAGATGCTTATTACAGTGTATATTGGATACAAGCAATGAATGTGTTATTAATACATATGAAGGCTGTATCAATAAACAGTGGACTATCATTAACTACCCATGGTTTAATATCATGTCACTCAATAAAGCCTTGATGGTATAGCAGGTTTGCTATAACCTGGCCACAATTCCAAAAGATTTTTCATGCTAGCTAGGTCCCTAAGAGTCCTTTCAGCCTTTAAACACTGGAGTTCAGATACAGGTCACCCAGCTGGGGAGCTGGGTGCTGGGCCAGGGTAGGGAACACGGTGCACCCAGCCTTGTTGGTGCGCGGGAGATGATCTAGCATACGGGGACAGCCAGTGTGCACTTCCTTTTGCACTCAGCCAAGTGTGCGCATGGCGTGAACCGCGGGTGACTGATTCACTGTGCGGACCAGCGCAGGCACTTTTTTGCACTCCTCCAGCTCTTTGACTGTGAAAAAGCCGCCAGCGGCAAGCTGCTCTCCACCACGCCTACCTGGGCTCTAGACAACCACGGCTTGCAGCTTCCCCCGCCTGTGACCACAGTGCAGACAAGCCATGGATCCCAACTGCTCCTGTGACACCACTGGTAAAGAGGTCCTGGGACGCTGCTGGATGCTGGTGAAGACGTTAGAGCCAGAAAAGCCATTTCTGACCTCTCTCTAGTCATCACTTCCCCTAGCATTTGGTGTTATCTATTTTGCGTTACTTCAAGGGTCCTTTGGCCAGTAAGAAGTCCTGAGTTAAAGGCTTGCTCAAGTTCTCACGACTTGGTTGGCCACACTCACCTCCACCTTTTCTCTTTGCACGTGACTCTTGCTCCTGTGCCCATTCTTGCACATGCAAGAAGTGCAAATGCACCTTCTGCAAGAATAGTAAGTGGGACCATCTAATCTCTCCCATCCCCACCCTATCCCGTACCTAGGAGGATTTGATTGGCTGGAGGTGCCCAGTGCTGGTGGAAGTTGGCACCTCCAAAGTGATGGCTATGTGTGGGAGTGGGCACATCTTTATTCCCTTTCTCTCTAGTGCTCAATTTAGCCATTTTCCCTTTCCTTCCACAGGCTGCTGCTCCTGCTGCCCTGTGGGCTGTGCCAAGTGTGCCCAGGGCTGCATTTGCAAAGGGGCATTGGACAAGTGCAACTGCTGTGCCTGATGTGGGCAGAGCCCGGCTTCCTGATGTAAACAGAGCCACGCAGACAAGTCACAACCCACAGTCCTGACACATTTGCCATATTCCTTTTGGTTCAAAAATATGTGAAAGATAATAAAAATCATTAGCGTTATTCTGACTCTGGTTTCCTCTGTATGTCTTGGGGAAATAAAGGCCTTGATACTTGCTGGGGGCTGTGGTAGGAGTTGGGCTTTCAGAGACTTTGGCTGAGGACTGCAGTGCCAGCTTCTAAGGAACTAAATGTCTCCAGATCACCTAATTTAGTTTGTCTCCTCTACAAAGCAGGACTGCAAGGTCACATCTTAGGTGGGCAGAGGTGGAATGCAGGGGGCGGGATGGGAACAGATACAAGATTACTGTTGTTCTAATATTAAAAGCTAATAGTACAGAAACTTTTTTAAATGTTTATTTATTTGAAAGGCAGAAGTACAGCAACAGATTACTACAATGATTGGGATGGGGCCAGACTGAAGCCAACAGCCAGAAACTTCATCCAGGTCTCCTACATGGATACAGGACCGAAGGACCTGGGCCCACCAGCTTTCACACGTGTATTATCAGGGAGCTTAATGTAAAGTGGAGTGGTTGGGACTGAATCACACTCCTGTCTGGTCCATTTCCCCAGTAGAAGCTAGCGGCTGGTTTACCCAAGGCTACCAACAATAAAAGTTACCCTGCTTGGTGTTGAATTTTGAGGAGTTCTCCCCAAGGTCAAGTTGAAATCTGTTCCTTTTTCAAAATCCATTCACTTGCTGTCTCAAAATAGCCCAGGCACCAGGGATTTGGAGGGGATTGCCCAGGATTTTCCCAGGAGAATGAAGTGTCCATGTGGTTGTTGGTTTCAGATGAAAGACTTACCTGTCTGTTCATTCAAGGCTGATGGTGGATTCTATAGTGCACAAGGTGCAGTGTGTTCATAAGGAAGAAGGGGAGCCCTGGGTGCCTTATAATTAAAGGCACTGCTTAAGGTGCCCCTGGCTATTTACTGGGGAGTTTTTATTTGATGTTCAATCAAAGAAGACAAGTTTCTTGGCCCAGAGGTCAGGATCATCCTTCCTCTCTAGTTCTCTGTCTTCTTGGCAGCTTCAGCAGACACCTGTGCCAAGTGCATGGGTTGGCATCAGGCAACCCTAGAACCCCCCTTGAAAAGATGATGTCACAACACTGGACAATGTTGAAACTTTTTGGCTTAGTGAGTGAGTGAGTGTGCAGAGAATGGATAAATCATTTCTTCCTCCAGAGTGGTTAACCACATGCCCAAGGCCACACAGCCTCGTAGAGTCTGAACCCCTGCCACAGCTGGACTCCAACCCCAACCTCAGCTGACAGATGATGATGTCACTCAACCCTGTTTATCAGTTCAGAGGTGGAAATGTCTTTAAAATACTCCTAGCACTGCAGTGGCTCTAAGGCTGGCCACAGACTGAAAGAAATCATTATCTGTAACCTTTTCCCTGTTGAAGAAGGAAGCTGAGTAGTTGCACTCAGACCCCAGGAAAGTGCAGCTAAATCGACCGGAAGAGCCGGTGATGGGGGAAGCCAGGAGCCAGGGCTGAATTCTGCAACTAGGCAAGACAGGCTCGGGAGGGACGTGCTGGACGGAATTGGAGACAGGGCGACCAGGAAGCCGAGTGTGTATGGTGCAGACACACGGTGCACTGCTCAGAGTCCCAAAGAGCATTGTGTGCCCACAAGGAGCGCCCCCTCACCCTAGGAGCACTCAGCACACAGGTTGCACACAGCCTGGCTAGGGACCCCTGGGCAGCGCTGCAGGATACACTGCTAGGAGCAGGAAGGGCCTTTGCCCTGGGGCCCCTCCCATGGACTGTAAAGGGAGCAAGCGCCTTGTGGGATCTCAGTCTGCTTCCCCCAGCCTGGCTGCCTCTTGGCCTTTCACCCTTGGGGTTCACCTTCTTTGAAATGGACCCCAAATGCACCTGTACCACAGGTAAGGGACTGGTTTTCTGAACCTGGGGCTCTGCATTTTTCTGCTGCAGGGCAACCACCTGCAGGTGCAGAGGAACCAGCACTGTTACATCTACCACTGAGTCACTACACTTCTCCTCCTTAGCAACGCCCCTCATCAACCTGCAATGGTTCCCACTTCAAGAAAAGGGAAGAAGAGGAAAGCTCCATCATCCTGCTCAGCCCCAGCACCTGTGGCAATCCGAATTTCCTTAGCTGGATGGGAAGATGCTGTCACTGCAGCTTCTGAGCCCAAGACATAAGTTCCCAGGTCAGGACCACCCTCCATGAGCTGGGGCCTTCCTCCACAGCAGGCATGAGCTTCTGAGCAGGTGAGTAGACGAGACGAGTCCAGGCCACACCTTCCTGTATCTTGTGTAGGACAGGAGACCCAGGACGGGGCCTGCTCAGCCATTGGGGGTGAGAGAGCTTGCTCTTCCTTGCAGGTGGCTCCTGTACCTGTACTGGTGGCTGCACATGCAAGCAGTACAAATGAACCTCCTGCAAGCTAGGTGAGTGTGTCACCCTCTCTGGAGAATTGCTGGGGAGTGAGCCTTTCTGGCCTCGGAGTCCATGCTGGAGTTCAGAGCTTGCCCAGGTGTCGGCACTCCCAGTTCCCCCTCTCTACCCAACTCCTTTTTCGTTTTTATTAAATCCATTGCAAGCATAAACATTGGTCAATAACATAAATTACAGAGATAATGAAACCGAAAAAAAAAAACACCCTATAAAACTCATTTTCAAAGACTCAGTGGCGAAGTCTCAATAGATAGTTGAAGAAACAGAAAACTGAAGTTTTAAGGACTCCGCCTATGTTCATCAATGTCTTTGTCACAAATTCCTAATATCTGGTAGCCCAGGGAGTAGAGCCATCCACATGGGTGACCTAGATTATGTACCTGGTTCCTGACTTTGGTCTAGTCTGGGACAGATCTGGCTTTTGTAGGCATGTGAGCAATGAACCAGCAGATGCCAACACTGTTTTGCTTTTTAAACAAACAAACAAATAACTTTAACGATGAGTGTCCTGACACAAACGTCAGGACCATTCTTTTTTTTTTTTTTTCAATGATTGATCTATTTTTATTTGAAAGCAGATTTTATTTATTTATTTATTTATTTATTTTAGAGAGAGAGGAGGAGAGGCAGAGAGGGAGGTCTTCCATCCACTGGTTTACTCCGCAATGAACCCAATGGCCAGAGCTGAGCTGATCCAGAGTTGGTAGTCAGTCGCTTCTTCCAGATGTCCCATGGATAGGGGCCCAAGGACTTGAACCATCATCCTCTGCTTTCTCAGACCATAAGCAGGGAACTGGACAGGAAGTAGAGTGGCTGAGACAGGAACCAATGCTCATATTAGATGCCAATGCTAGCAGGCAGAGAAATAGCTTGCAATGCCATCGTGCCAGCCCCAGGACCACGCAAACACTCTGGGATTCCCAGTGTTGACAAGTAACTTTATAAATTCGTCAGGAGGCCCTGGCCCACAAACCACTTTGTGATCTGGGAAAGTCACTCGACCTTTGAGCCTCCATGTCCTCAAGTGTAGAAAGAATATATTTCAATGTAGGTATTTTTTTTAAAGATTTATTTATTTTTGGGCCCGGCACGGTGGCGCAATGGTTAAGGTCCTCGCCTTGCACGTCCGGGATCCCATATGGGCGCCGGTTCTATCCCGGCAGCCCCGCTTCCCTTCCAGCTCCCTGCCTGTGGCCCGGGAAAGCAGTCGAGGATGGCCCAAAGTTTTGGGAACCTGCACCCGTGTGGGAGACCCGGAAGAGGCTCCTGGCTTTGGACCTGCATAGCATCGGCCGATGCGCTCACTTGGGGAGTGAATCATCAGACAGAAGATCTTCCTCTCTGTCTCTCCTCTCTGTATATCCGCCTTTCCAATAAGAAAATAATAAAAATAAATCTTAAAAAAAAAGATTTATTTATTTTTATTGGAAAGACAGATATACAGACAGGAGGAGAGACAGAGAGGAAGATCTTCTGTCCAATGGTTGACTCCTCAAGTGAGCGCAATGGCTGAAGCTTAGCCGATCCGAAGCCAGGATCCAGGAGCTCTTCCTGGTCTCCCACACGGGTGCAGGGTCCTAAGGCTTTGGGCCATCCTTGACTGCTTTCCCAGGCCACAAGCAGGGAGCTGGAAGGGAAGCAGGGCCGCTGGGATTAGAACCGACACCCATACAGGATCCTGGCTCATGCAAGGCGAGGACTTTAACCGTTATGCTATCGTGCTGGGTCCCAATGTAGGTATTAAATGTGAGACTCACCAGGCCCTTGTTTAGGAAACAGGAACAATTAGGACTTTCTTGGATACCACTGACTCTCTCAGATGATGGATCCTAGAAATCGCACAGACTGCTGGGGAAAGGCGGATAGATTTGGAAGCGTTACTGTGGGTGAGTGGGGCTGGGCATGCTATTACAACCCAGCCAATCCAGTATCAGGAGAAGTGTGAGTGTCCTATGTGAGATAAGAGATTGTCCAGCATTGATATGGATGCAAAACCTCCTGTGTCATTAATCTCACCATCTGGCAAGGGAGAGTTACGGGCCTCAAGAATGTGCCAGCAACTATGCAGGCGCTGCAGATTCAGTGCTATCTTCTAGAGCAGCTGAGCCACGTGCCCAGGGGCACCCAGCTCAGAAGGAGAGCTCTGAATGGACTTATGCCACAGCTGGCCTCTCGCTCTGACCACAAGCAGACAAGATGACGATCTTATGGATGCTAAACTCTGCCTACTTCTGTTCAGTGTTGGAAGGGCCCTCTGAGATGGGCTGATTTTGCTCTTGGCTGCAGGAATAGGAAACACAAGTCTAGGGGTCTCAGAGCTATGCACAGGAAGCTGAGCGCCAACCCAGTCTTCCTTGGTGCTGCCTCTGTGTAACCTGGAGACAGAGGCGGTGGGTTGAGGGCATGATATGGTTGTCAGCTTGCATGAGTGAAATCCTACCCATGCCAATTAGAATCATGTATTAGAGTCTCTCTGAGGCTCACTCTCTTCATCTGTAAAAGGGGTATGATCATGGCAGCAGCACGCAGTGGTTGGATGCCCTGGAGGAACGTGGCATTGGGTATGGTCAGTGGTGAGAGCTCTGTGATATTAGCTGCTGCTTCTGCATAGCCTAGGGAACATTTATT